TTTTTATGGCCCCGGCAATAAATCGACTATAAAACGGAGTATGTGCTTTTTATGTACAGAAGTTATTTCGGTTGCTTCCGTGTAAAATGTTCATCATAATAATATGACCTCCGGTTTACTTTTATTATTTAAAACCGCGTTCATTAAAAGATAACTATATAGGATAAGATATAAAGACGGCCCGATTGGCGTGGTAGGTAGTCTGCGTCTTGCCACGCCAGAGGGTGTGGGTTCGATCCCCACTACTACGAAAATATTGTGTGATAAACAAAGTGTTTTTAAAGCATCTGGGTGTTTACATATTTATATGTATTTTTTACCAAAAAAGAAAGAATGTTTATCAGTTTTCTAGTACCCACAGTGCAAGAATTGCTTTGCTTGAGACTGGAAAACATTGTGTAAAAACGTATCCTGAATTATTATTTTTTATATCTGTTTTAGTGTTAAGAGTATGCGTCGAACTTCTTGTTAGTTAAAAAATTTCTTATCCCACTAATTGTGCTTGATGTTTTTAGATAATGTACATTTTCAAAACTAGCGATACATTTATCCTTCTATGAGTGCTAACTACAATTGTGAATTAAAATTTTTACCGTGGTAGGGCCACACAGCAGCCTCGGCTGTACGCACGAATGGGCAGGCCCGTCCGGATAAGTACCACGACCTCATTGAAGATCGGCTTAAAGTGGAAGAATGACAAATACTTTCGCGTTTCGTCTGGTGAGTAAGGTAGCCGGAGCCCAATTTTCAAAAGGTTGTCAACGCATCTGTAACCCTCGGGTGTGGCAGATGCCCATGGGCGGCGGTATTCACTTAACATCAGGTGAACCGTCTGCTCGTTTGACAACTTTTCGCATAAAAAAAATTCTCCGACGCGGTCATCATACCTTCGTCCTCTGGTCTAACTATTAAGCTAAACGGCGGATTGCCACGTTGACGAAAATCTCAACGTATTTCATCTATTTATACGTTGTACAACCTTGGAATTAATAGAACCAGTCAGTTCAGACGTAGCAGTGTGTAAAATAATTGTATTATCCTTGAAAGGGTGCAGTGTATTCAGCTATAACGTGCTGAAGCACTAATTAGTTTCATGTAATGGTGATATGCCGAGGTTCAATTTGTTTCTATCTGATTGGTTCCAAATTGCTTTCATGGAAATTAATTTATCAAATATACTATATCTGTATATGGATATACCTTATACTACTGTATTGACTAGAACGAAGTAGACCTTGGGGCATTACCTTAATTTACTTATTAATTTTCAGTCATACTGTTGATACAAAAAAATTATGTCTGTTGTATGGGAGCCCCACTTAAATATTTTTTATTCTATTTTTTAATATTTGTTGTTATAGCGGCAACAGAAATACATCATATGTGAAAATTTCAACTGTCTAACTATCACGGTTTATGAGATACGGGCCTGGATAGACAGTCTTAGTAATAGGGTCCCGTTTCACCCTTTGGGTTCCGAACCCTAAAAATCAAGTTAGTGAACACTATGGGATTCGAACATCATATCGACAGTCAGCATTCCCAATATTTAGACAAAATTCGTACATAGCTTCAATAAGGCTGAAAGGGACATTAATGGAAGACTACTATGTATGTTTTATACGGAAATTAATTCGAAGGCTACATAAAGTCGTTATGAAGAAAGCCATCACATAATATCATTGTGAATTCACCCTAACTTAGCAAATGACCATAAAGTTGAACAGAAAATAACTGGTTCGAAAGATGTCGTGATAATTCATCATAAACATATTAATATAATTAACTCACATTGTACAGGGATTGAAGAAATATTTATTACAAACATGATACTTCATGAGCACTCGGCAAAAATAATTAATAAAGTTCATTTTTTTATGTGAGAAAGTGGCAAACGAGCTGGCGATTCTCCTGATGTTAAGTGATAACCACCGCCCATGGACATTTTCAACAGCCGTAGGGTTCAAATACAGTGGGCCCCGGCTACCTTACTCACCGTATGCGTGAGACGAAACGCTGAAGTGTAACATTTATATTTAACGTCGGTCTTCTGTGAGGTCGTGGTTCTTACCCGGATGGACCTGCCTATTCGTAAAACAGTGAAGATTGTTGCGTGGCCCTACCGCAGTTAAGTGTTACTAAGAGCGTTACTAAGAGTAGTTGTGGTAACCTTAATCTTTATAGTTGAATTTTGAATTGATATTTTGAACTATAGAATTTTCAAGTAGGTTCTCAGATACAGTATGCAGAGCAAATTGTGTTCAAAACTACCAAGATTTCATCGGTAGAACGGCGTTAATATTTAATACAGATCTAAATTTCGCAGTCCAAGCCATTGGTACTAACAATCGAATCAAGAACGCAAGAAATAAATCTAGATGCGAATTCGTCTTATATCCGATTAAAGCACGAAATAAGCAAACAGATAATGTATTTAATTTTAAAAGTAAATAAAAAGTACGTAATAAACAGTCTGCAAAAGAACTACAGAAGCCATTCGGAAATACTTCGAGAGGCAAGGAATCCTTGCGAAAGGAAGCCATTCAAAGTAATATCAGAAATGAAGTGACTAAGAAAAAAGAGAAGCTATCAAGTAAAGTACAAATAGGTGTATTATTTTTCGGTGTCCTATTTTTCCTGTTTACTTGCTTTTAACCTCATTCTACGTTATCATATTTTTTACTCTGATGGCTAATCTTAGCTTTTTGTTAAAACCAAAAGTAAAAATCGAGACATATTTCAATAGGTGAAAAAGGTACCTAGTGTTTGTTTTTTTATGGAAAAAAATGTCACACCTAAAAACGTGCTGAAAACGCTGAATTCAATGTATGAAAAATTAAAAAAAAATTGGAAAATAAATATCCCATACCTAACTGTTTCAAAAATAGACGCAAATATTTTCTGAATTAATTATTGTTACTGTCCAATGTTGCAGGGAACAACTATGGTTATTGAACCATCTAAAATATACCACTTAAAATAGGCAGCGAGGTTACACTTTAAAGTAATTGTAGTAAGAAATACATCACCGTACAATTTATTAACAGAGTGCTTTGATGTGACCCATGTATTGTTCTATACATTTTTAAAATCAGCAGCTTTTCTGTCGTACCAATGGGCAGCCAGGTCTGAGGAAGTACCACGACCGCACAGAAGACTTACTTTCACATTACGTTGTGAAAGTTTTTTTTTTAATGTGAAAAGTTGCCAAACGAGCAGACGGTTCAACTGATGGTAAGTGAATACCGCCGCCCATGGACATCGGCTACACCCGAGGGTTACAGATGCGTTGACAACCTTTTGGAAATTGGGCTCCGGCTACCTCACTCACCAGCCGAAACGCGAAAGTATTTGTCATACTTCCACTTTACGCTGGGCTTCTGTGAAGTCGTGGTACTTACCCGGACGGGTCTGCCCATTTGTGCATCAGCCGAGGCTGCTGCATGGCCCTACCACCGGTAAAAGTATATTACCATTAAAGTATATTACTTACCATTAAAGTATATTACTTACCATTAAAGTATATTACTTACCATTAAAGTATATTACTTACCATTAAAGTATATTATTGTCATTAAATTACTTTTTACGTTTCTGCCAGTTAGTGAGATAATCGGGTTGGCTATTACACCACCAACTTAATATATACCGGGTTGGCTATAACAGGTGTACAGATGTCCATGGGAGGCGGTAACCGTCTAATATTTGGCATGTCATCAGTTCTACAGCCTCTTTCTCATAAAAAAAAATAAATAAAAGAACTGATGAACGAAGTCAACTTAATAATTCGAGTTCAACTTATTTATTTAGCGTGATTCTCTCAAGATTTTGCCGTTAGCGTAAAAAACTAAAATAACGTGGTTTAGTGAAAAATTAAATTATTCTACTATAATTTAAATATTCAATTTATACATTAATTAACGTCACCGTGATATTAAATAAAATAGGAATATGATAACTGTCATATCTTTAGATTTTGTGTTAGTTTCTGTTGACTGGCAACACTCTCTGTTGTCATCGTCATCATCATCATTTCAGCCTGTTTGAGTCCACTGCTGAACATAGGCCTCCCCCATAGACTGCCACGAAGTACGATCCTGAGCCACCTGCATCCATCGACTTCCCGCATATTTGCACAGGTCGTCACTCCATCTAGTGTCTATAATTAATTAATTAATACTCAATAAAAGTGATAATTAATTAATTATATCATATTTTATTGCAAAGTACAACAAAATTTATCAACAGCGTTCTTCAAAGCATCGTTGGGTTAAATTATGGATTAAAGCTGAATATATTCGTTTCAGTATAAGATTAATAAAGTAATTAAAATACGATCAACATAATAAATTCGAGAATGATGTGAAAATCATTATTATTTCAAATCAGTTGTCAAATTTACCATATGGTCGTATAAAAAATTCGAATCTTTATACTGTAAAAGGAACAGATAATTTAAAAGAATGAGGGATATGGTTTTAATGGTAATAATTTATCAAAATAGATCATAATTTCATATCACAAATGGCTTTTCGCGTCTGGAACGCGAGAACATCAATCACGTCTGGACCAGCACCAACTTTACTGCTGATAATTTCTGAAGCAATCGAAGTTCTTCAAAAAATGGAATTGCTAATTAATCAGTGCACTTCATTTTATTATTAAAAAAGAACGAATTTTGGCTTACGAAAGATATACGAAATGTCCCACGTAAAAAGCATGTATTTTAACACTAACAGTTGTAAAATTCTTTTCGTGATACTGATTTAATCTGTACGTGATAGACGATTGTAAATATTACATAACACAAATGAAATGTTTTAAACGGTAGGATATTAAACAATTATATATATTTTCAAGGATAATTGTTTAAAAGTACCTAATAAATAAAAACACTTAAAGAACTAAATATAAGTAACTAAACTAAGTAATATATTTATCTCTCTACCATCTATGTTTATATAAGTGATTATTTTTTAATATATTGGTAATGGGCATACCTTAAATAAGCCAGTTCAGCTAAGAAAGCGCTGCCGTCGATTGGCTTGGAGCGGTTCTTGAAAACTAGTGTGGGCAGTTCCCCCATCTGTTGCACGGCGCTGTCGGTGTCGGCGAAACGCTGGGTTAAGTTCGACCTACGCAGGAATGATGAATTTTAGAAACGATTCCTCTTAATTCACCAACGTTTACCAGTGGAGAGCAATTGTAGATCGTGAACGAACAACTCAGCTCGACGGGTTATGCCTCTCGGCCTCGGTTAGTGAGGTAACCAAGAACCAATTCTCTCTGTTATGGATTCATGGCTGCAAAACGAAATGTCGAGCATTTTGTTGAATCTCCTCAATAAAGTTTGTAGTAGTTGTGAATTACTTATTTCACACGAGACCCATAAGAATGTTCGCAGTCGTTAAACATCACCTAGATTCGTTATACACTCGTATATCATACTAGCGGACCTGTTAGACAAATTGTTGAATACAAAAATTATGTTAATAATATTTTGTAGTGGACCGAATTGTGAATATGAACCATTCTTGAATTCGGTCACATGCACACGCTTAGAAGAATTTTTTTATAACTTTTTTTTAATTTATTCGATTACAACGTAATATGCTGCCAATTAAGATAAATACAAATTATTCGTTACATAGTACAATAGATAACTTTTCTCACATTTATATGTAACCACATCATGCGTTTTATCCTGTTACTGTAATAAAAAAAATATATAAAATTATGTAAGTTAAAAATGAGACAAAGGTCAATCACGATAGTAATGAAGTAAGTCAACATTTTTAATTTTAGCAATATAAGTAGCGATGCTATCGAATTGGATGTCAATATCCGAATTCTTCTCAACGTATTCTTTGTATAATATACATAAATAATAATTATATACATAAAAATTTGAGATACAACTAAGCCGCGATCGGATAGCAGATCACGTAAATAAAACCGCACCGTCCAATGAAACCGCAGCGTTCGATGATGCACGTACACTTGACCGAACGGAAATTACGTCTGCTTCGGCGTCGATTCTAACGCCCATTTGTTGCCCGGGGGGCAACCAATTGCAGTTGCTGTAATTTCGTGCGATTAGATTTCTACTTTAAAATATATATGTTATTTTGCTCACCGATTCAAAGCCAAGTCAAAGTTGTGTTATCCAGTTCATTAAAATTTTTATTAAAGTTATTACTACGAATATTGGTATATGACTCTGTCAGGTCTTGAAGTCAGTGATACCCCTACTACTAATGATTTTCTAACTACTACTGTCTCTAATGCTAAATGTCTTGGAATGATGAAGTGATCGTATACTAATACAACTGTTCCGACAATTATGATGCATTAAAAAGTTCTCAACAATGAGTATCAAGATTCACACTTAATGATTTAATTAGAAGTATTCCAACTGCCGTGATAGCTCAGTGAGCCGTGATAGCTCAGTGAGCCGTGATAGCTCAGTGAGCCGTGATAGCTCAGTGTCCGGGCGCTCGCCTTTAATTCAATATACTCGAGCAACCTGAGTTCGATCCCCGGTGCCGGCACCAATGAAGTTTTTAACTTTAAGTGCTGACTTATCACGTGCTCCGCGGTGAAGGAAAACATCGTGAGGAAACCTGCATATTTTCGAAATAATAACAAAAAATATTTCGAAGATATGTGAAGTCCGCCAATCCGCCGTGGGGCCGCGTGGTGGACTATGCCCTGATACCCTCTGTATAGAGGAGACGATTAAAATATATTGACTCGACACGAGCAAAGAGTCATTCATGTCCTGATATAGTTGTTGACGTCCTCATAATATATATAGTTCTTAACCCGAGCTTCCACCTACGTTGAAACTGTCGAACGCTACAAATAATTCCAAAATGTCGGTATCCCACAACGAAGTTACAAAAACAAAATGTATTTAAGAGTAATGTAAAATTAAATATTTGAAATAACCCGCGGGATAAATAAAAAGGCTGAAAAAACAGCACCGCAGCCGTGCCTGCTGCCTTTATGCTTGCTTGTACGTCTGCTTGTATGTCTGTTGCTTACTATGTATCGTCTATCGAACACCTTCTCGATGAGGATATTCTTATAAACCAAAATATTTTATATCTGCTGTAAGTTTTCGAGGAATTGAGCAATAGGTTAGCTCGGAAATACCACGGATTGATTTTAAAGGTACTTAAAAATCAATCGGATCTATGAAAGTTAGTAAGACAGTTCTTGTTCAGTAGGCTGCTCATTTTCTGATTGTTCAAGCAGATTATGTCTTCACATCCTTAGATAATCTGTTGGCAAATAATTTATAAATCGAAGCCATCAATCATTTATTTTTCCTTTTTTCCATTGACTTTTGTCTCGATATAGAATCATTCATTTTTAGCAAAATTGTCAAAAACCTAAAATTATTATAATTTCAACAAAACACAAACTGTGTTTAATTTTGTTCCCTTATCGAACACTGATAAATGATTTTTCAAACGCCTAAACAGATCTTCATACATACATTGTAGCTAAGAACTATCACGTCAGCTTTAGGATACTGGGTCCATTCGTTTAGAAGCTTCGATACCACACACAGACATACAGATACACAACGGACACGTCAAATTTGTAATAGCCCTTGTTCTTAAAAAAACTAACTTCAAATATCTCATTTTGATTTGAGAAGCTCCCTAATGTATCTCTGGAATTCAAGTTCCAAACCAATGGAATTAATATGGAACCACTTACGGAACCCTAAAAACCATGCTGAATTGAGAGCCTGTTCTTTTTTAAATCGGGTGAAAATGGCCTTTGGCCGCGTCCCATTTGTATGTGTGAGTTACAACAATTTACGGAGGCGGATACTTGGCTTTTATATGGCTGGATTTTAAAAGGATCTGTGACAACACTCCATGCAAATTTGTTCATTTAACGTCGTCGTTTATCGTGACGGTTAAATATATAATAATATTTGTTAAATATAACAAATGAGGCGTTGCCGTCACGATAAACTTTATTTCATTTCGGATAGGGCCAGTAAGAAGCCGAATTGGAACAAGGTTATATTTATTAGAGCATGACAATAGTTGACCAACAATGTTCTTAGTATGTAATCTCTGGCCAAATAAATGCGAAATTTATTTAAAGTACATTATTTATTAATTTTGTTAAACTGTTAAATTTCTAACAGGCCCGTCATATTGTTTTTATATTTATTGAATGATTTTTCAATAAACTATTTAGTTGGATGACAATAATGACATTACAAAATTCTAACTCTCCCCGTTTTAAGTGTCGCCCACATACAAGGTGATTTTATAAATGACGGACATTAACACAGCATATCGAGAATTTGATTCGAAATCTGAATCTGGTACGTACTTGTGACTTTTTTTTTTCAAAGATCATTTTTAATTTTTTCAAACATTATTGACACATTAAGACATTCTTGCCTTACCGTCTCAATACAATAAGCTATTCACGAGCACTAAAACTGTTCGCTGAACGCATAATTACTAAACCGCTTATCAATATGGTGAAAACTCTTAACGGGATAAACAATGTTTGAATTGATGTTTTTCTGGTTATTTCTATGTTCAGGGTTTGCCTGTTTGTAGTGGAAGTAAGTTCTGCCTGTCGGTAAAGGTAGTGGAGTTGGTCTTGAAATAAACCACTTTTAGACACAATTAAATTTATTTTTCCTGTGTACAGTTTTAAGTTACACGTCTATGCGAGAGAGTACAGTATACAAGTGAATAGTATATAATTGCCACGCATAAAAATAATTTCAATGTTGCCAACATTCTTGTCAAAATAAAATATTAATATTTTTTTTGAATTATGGAATGCTCAATTGACGTTATGTCAAAGTATGCATTTTGTCTAAAAAATCATCCTGTATAATCAGATGTAACGAAATAATTTAAATCAACCGCTCGACGTAAGTTATGAAGAAAGCTATACTGAAGTAAGTAATGATTAAGGTTAACTTGCAAACTGCCTGTGCTGTAATAACCAAATATAAAAGATTTTGAAAATGATAGACACGGCAAAACAAGCCTTGATATTCTACACTTATAAAAGTAATCTCAAAACTTTAAAAAGAAAACTACGGCTATAAAAATCTCCAGAGGTATTGGACACGTCCATTTGTTTTAACGATGCGTTCGTAGTTTGAAAAACGTCAGTATGTAATTGCATTTCTACGCCAACGACCGGGTATCATTTCACCTGCACAGACTCAATAACGTCTCAATATTTCGGCGTTTACTCGTCTCAGATCGATTTAAAATTAATCGAATTAATACATTTAATTCACAGTACACATTCCCTTGTTGCTTGTGTCCGTAGAAATACGGATATATATTTATAGAGAATTCTCTTGAATTAAACGGTAATACATTGATGGGTATATAATAATAGCTATATAATAATATATATCGTTTGATGTAAACCTGACTGCATGTACCACTGCACTAGATCCTATACCTACTGTCGGACTTACACTAAGACGAAAAGTGAATACAGTAACAATTCCATCAAGATTTACTAAAAAGCTAACTAAAAGGCTGAAATTCTAACTCACGGTCGAATACGTCGTCGCGCTTGGATTGTTAAGCTCTAAAGTCTGTGTTAACAAAATAAGATTTCTCTTTACAGCTGCGTTTCGTTAATTTTTTCTTGTTATCTTAATCAACTACGTATGCGTAACTACTACGTATATATACCTTATTGGCTATCTCCCAAAGGAAAAAGTCTAGAAAGGACTAGGTTCAATTTTATATATATTTTTCAAACACTTTCCGGAAATCCCGGTCAATCTATGCAGACGATCGCATATTCGATACGGGTAGAAACATGCTGGATTTTAATTAAAATGTCGCACGTACTTAACCCTCAACGGATTACTGTATTGATTTGAGACGTTGAATATTTCTGATTTATCATCTCAACATAATATAGTAATGCATGGTGCAGAGATTTTTTTAGTTAAAAAGGTCTTCTTAAATACTTAAGTAGGGACCATTAGATTCTCCTCTTGCGTCGCTAACGCATAGTCGTGGTTGGCATGAGTTGGGTCCCCATGGTGAAGCCAAGAGGGCCCATATTGGTCTGTGGTCGAAGCCTGCACTAGGAAAGCTCCGAATGGGAGCGGTGGAGGCGTGCTAGGAGGACTATTTATTTGGTGAGATTGATGAAATTAAAAACAGAAATGCATTAATGACACACCATAATTAATACTTCCTGACCCACCTTTATTGTTTTTAACTTATTGCTTTTAAATACCATTCATATTAAATTTAAATTTACTACGTTTAACTTTGCAGTCATTACAACATCCTTGCTATAGTACTTTTTTGTAATAAAAAATAAGTGCCCATGGTAAACCCGTATACTATAAAGTCAGACGATCTCTCTATTCGAAAATACGCTAAATATCCAAACGTCTTTCAACTCGCTTATGAAAATTCATGTAACGAAATTTATTAAAGCATCGACTTTCCAATTTTGGCACGTCACTTATTTTATAAGTAACATTCTCTCCCTTATGTTTAGTACATGCATATGTTATTTTATGCTCTCATATTTTTTGGACGAATACGTCTTTGAGGTGGTTATTGAAAATATTTAAGGGTGTAAAAATAGTTGCACGCCTTCGCTAAGACTAAATAAGTTTAGCCTTAGCGAAGGCCCATAAAGTTGCTCGTGGGAAGAAGCATGAATGCGTAACATCAAAGGTGGACAACAAAGAAGATATGCAGAGCTCACTAGCGACGTTAACCAGCCGAATTTACCCGAAAAGGTAGAAGAGAAGCCCAGACACAATAACGAAATAGTGATTTCTGTGAGTAAGATGAAGGCAAAAGTTACATTTACAGAGTTTTTGATCACTTTGGTAAATACCAGTTCAAGTCGCGTTTTTGAGTTAATAATTAAATAAGAAAAATAATTTAAAAGATAAAAACACTCCGTTTTCAATTATTCTGTACGCGAAGAATCCAAAAAAGTCGTCGATAAGGCTTCGCTTAAAACAATTTACGAGCTCAAATGGAATCGTATACTCCTAATACTCGAGTGATACACGAATTCAAATGAAAGTAGCCCATAAAAACTGAGCATATATATAATACGGGATGTATCGGGAGGAGAAGACGTAAAGTTGACAAGAAATGACAAGCTTTTATTGACACGCGAGCTGGTTTGAGTTGGGAGAAGAGACAAGTAAAATCTAATGTAATCGGTAATATAATTTCACAAGTTTATAAGCTTGTTTTCACTTCTTACAACAATAGCGACGGGTTCGAAGAATATTTGGAGTGGAGAAAGCTTGTACATTGTGACTACATAGAGGAGAATGGTTTAACACATTTATCTGTTTTATTTTGACAAACACGAACCAACGAGCGATAAATACTTTATTATACATGTGTTATTTAAAACTAGCTGGGCCCGCGACTTCGTCCACGTAGAATTATATTATGTATATTAAAAACAATAAATAAAATCTCTAAACTAAAATTAGCCTAAGTTACTCCTTATTACATCAGTTATCTGCCAGTAAAAGTCCCGTCAAAATCGGTTCAGCCGTTTCAGAGATCAGTTGGAACAAACAGACAGACAGACAGAGAGACAAAAATTGTCATTAAAAAATGTTATATAATATAATATAGGTAGTACTAATATGTTTGATGGTAGAAGAATAGCAGCTCCTTGTGGTGCATGAATCTTGTCCAAGGAAGAAGAAAAAGGCATCACAGAAGATTGGTTCGATGTGGAAGTTATTTCGTTTGCTCTTGTGTGTCTTGTATTAACTGATGTTAACGCTTTCAGTCCCGAGACTATTAAAGCTTCATCGAACGCAGAACCGGTGGGCTAGACAGAAGCCACGGGTTTGAGGCCCTCCACAGTTGGTAGGGCCACGCATGTGCTCATGCGTGCGTTAGTAAGGAGTGTCGCCTACGGGCTATCGAGGTTCGGTTGCGGACCGTGACCCCAATAGGCGTTAACTGTGTTAAAAAAATAACTATAAGTAAATTAGGTACGCAGTAGGCTGGAATATTTTATGCGCAAGATACTTATCTTAAATTTCACTTAAAGACTCTTGAAGTGACATCATAAAATAGAAATAATTTTAACTCTGATCAGTGTAATCTAATAACCCTAAATTATACGGTTAAAAAAACAACATAAATACACCTTACTCTAACTCACATTTACTTAGAAGCCTATTAATAGTTGCTTACTCCCTTATGCATGAGTTCGACAAACGCTTCAAGTGACATTTTAATATCTAGCATTTCAGCAGGGAGTAGAGTGCCAACACTCTCGGATCGACGTAGCGTCAATGAACTGCGTATTTCAATCATGGGGCATAAAAAAGCCGTCCAAGTGAGAGTCAAACTGACGCGCGAAGTGTTCCGTACCATAATCTATAAAAACGGCAAAAAAAACCATGACAACAGGCATTGGAGCTGTTATAGATATTTTTTTATTCTGTTTTTTAGTATTTGTTATTATAGCGGCAGCAGAAATACATCATGTGTGAAAATTTCAACTGTCTTACTATCATGACAGACAGAAAGTGGTGTCTTAAGAATAGAGTCCCGTTTTACCCTTTGGATACGGAACCCTAAAAAGTGACATAAAGATGACGTGTAATATGTTTACGTGTCTTGCTAGGTGGCGGTTATATTTTTGATAAAATATGCTTTGGTTTATGTTCATAATACCAGGATAGTGTTTTCACGGAATTAAGATTTTATCTGTTGCAAAAACAAAATTATTTTATTTTTTAACATTTTTACTATTCAGCTAAAGTTTATTATGAAATTAAGAGTTTGTTTAAAGATCATCATTTTTAGTCCGTGTTCATTATTGCCATCTATTACTGACCTCCAAAAATCATATATTAATTAAGAAAGTCTTGAAGCATATTTTAATAATGTTTTACAAATTTATTGAATCAGATACCAAAGACTTTTTGAAATAACCACAACGTACTAACCATTGTCTTAAAGTTATTTAATGTTGAGGATAAATTAATTTGTGGTGGTTTTTAACTTTTTCGTTCATTAAAGATTCAAAATTTCCGCTTGTAATATCGTTTGGGTACCAAAATGCAATTCTAAAAATTCTTTATACGCAAAAGAATTATAAAATTACTACTTGTTAGGGTTGACAAACATTCCGTTACAATATATTTCTAAAAAAAAGTTTATCCCACACTTTAGCATAAGTGTCTGTTTAATAAATTTACATTAGAAGCTCCAGCGATGTACGGTTTGCTCTCTGCAACACATAGTTTACACGCAGCAAAATCTTACTCCGCGTGTGATCATGGGGCAGGGCGTTACGTAAAGAACGATTTAAAAACTCGAAATTTGAAAATAGAATCCATAAAATGTTTTTCATTAACGAGGTCAATTATTTATTTTTGTGAAGTGAATACTTCTTTTTGGCACCGAACAGCTTTCCGTGAGCCTTTGTGTACTTTTTGGGTGAACAAAAATCATGGAACTCGCATCATGGTCCCCGAAAACAGTATATTGGTGAACTAAAAAATATCATTCATATTAATCAATTATTCACAAAAACTCCAACAAAACACCTTTAAAGCAACCGAAAAAATGCTGATTGAGCAATGTTGTGTACGAAACTCCTTTAAATTCGTTGTCCTGTAAGTCTTACAGCTGCTTGCGAACGTGACGAGAAATTTAATTTAAGGATTTACATTTTGTTTAGACCGTTTTAGTGTTTCTATATGTAAAGCTTCATCAATCTCAGATCGTAGACTTCTATTGGTATTGTAAATCCACTAAGTTTTGATTAAAGACGTTCACAGCTGAACACAGCACTCTTTAAAGTAAAGTAGTAAAGTAACAGCCTATACATGTCCCACTGGGCAAAGGGCTCCTTTATACAGAGGGTATCAGATCATAGTCCACCACGCGGCCCCACTGCGGATTGGTGGACTTCACATATCTTCGAAATTTTTTTTGTTTTTATTTAGAAAATATGCAGGTTTCCTCACGATGTTTTCCTTCACCGCGGAGCACGTGATAAGCACTTAAAGTTAAAAACTTCATTGGTGCCGGCACCGGGGATCGATCTCAGGTTACTCGAGTATATTGAATTAAAGGCGAGCGCCCGGACACTGAGCTATTACGTCTCAGAAAGCATGGTCGTTAATCACTGGTAATTATTTTATTATATGTTAGCTACGCAGCCATCTTCGCTGTTGCACCAATGGGCAGGTCCGTCAGGGGAAGTCCCGCAACCTCACAGAAGACCGGCGTGAAGTGGAATTGTTATACTTTTGTGTTTTGTCTGGTAAGGTTACCGGAGCCCACTAATATAGAAAGGTACACGAATCGGAACCAGTAGTAGATTTTGGCCATTGCATGCGCTTGCAAATGTCCCAATTGAATAAAAACTTTTTTATTGTCTTTCACTTTAACGCATTTAACGGTCGATTAATAGATCCCGGAGATGGCATGTCTCTACGCCTTATGGTTCCAGAGATATCGTGATAAGTCAATTATTGGTGTAAATCTCTTATATGTATATAGATAAGTCCACTAATCGGCAAAAGGGTTACGGGCAGTGACAGTGCTGGCCTTAGAGCGGAAAAACTAGCTTAGCTTGCATTTTGTTATTTTGGTTGAACTTACCGCAAAGTGCTGCCGTTGGTGAAGATGAAGAAGGCAACCTCTGATCTTTCCTGCTGAAGTCTGGTCACCAGTTTACCGAGCTCCGTTGCTCTGCTGACCTTTACAAAATAATGGGTACATGTAAAATGGATGCTGAACTTTAACACCTTCACTTAGTTAAATAGGGTGGCTTTTTTAGAGGTGCCCAAATTCACACAGGCGGTTCAGACTCGGTAGTATAATCGTTTATTGAAATAAAAACATACTTTTTTTTTCAAAAAACATTGCCATTCCATTCCCTAAAAAACAGAACTTATTGACAATGCGGTAGTCATTCATAAATGCGTCGTATACTGTTGAGAATATGATTTTGTACCTTGTAACATTAGTATCGTTTTAGCTGCTCTGGGACTGCATAGACAATACTCGACTCTGTGTAATTAGTCAAGGTGTAATTGTGATTTGAAGATCATCAAGTATTGTAATTAATAGTATCTTGTGAAACCCAGTATAAAGTATTAAATAATGTAAACTAAACATAATAAACCAATCATAAAAGCAGAACTGCATATTTATTTTGATCCACGGAACCACATTTTTAACATATACTTTTGAAACGAACTTGTGTGCGTGTTAGTTATGAATGATCGCGCGTAAAATAAATGAGTTGCCCATAAATCACGCACTTTTTGAGATAAGTCAAAATTAATGTAATTAATTAATTAAGAGTGATTTTAAATATTTAACATTTTTATATAACATTACCGACGTTATATTATTGCACTGCAATAATAAATCATAATAAGCAAAAGATTCGAGAGCTATCCACGGGTTACAAACATTACTAATCTCTTGGGAGGATTGAACTTGAGGCCTAAAATTAAACGCAACGTGAAAATTTTCCTTTGTCGCGCCTCAAATGGAAATCTATCGGCTGTCCATTACAACGGCTTAATCGTCGATTTTGTAATTAAGTGACAATTCAATCACTTGACTCTGAAAGAAAATATATTCCGATCTTGGGAGAGGCTATAAATTTTCATGAAAGTCCGTTTTCCACAGTAGCGGTGGCGTCCACAGAGCAATGACACTCACAGAGAACACTAACATTTAAATGGTCGAAAAATTCGTAACCTGCTTACCAACTTCACGGTATTACCATGACAACAATTAAAAACTTTTGACATTTACCTATAATGGAAAGTTATTTTACCATACTGTTATCAATTGCAATAAATGTCTTTTTCACAAACAAAAAGTACTGGCGTAGGGGATAAAACTTTCAGTTATTTTTATTTTGTTACGCTAAAGAAGTATAACTACTTACATAATAACACGTTTTTTTTTAATATTATCAAGTAATAATTCAGTACCAATTTAATTCCACCATTAATAAAATAGCAGTCTTATTAACAGTGGGGGCATATAGATTAGGGTTTACTGAGCACAATAAATATATGGATAGTAATTAATCGTGAACATTACAAGTGGTCAGTCTTTTATCGCACATCTGGTGTGCACTGAAGACACATTTTAGCACGTAACAAAACAACAACTACAAACCAAACAATAAACCACAGTTAATATTTGAACCCATTATGTCCCAGCTAAAATCACGCATGCCCCTAATGAAAACAAAAATAAATCACTGAGGAGCATAGAGATGATTAGTGCAATATTTCTTTATCTGTGTCACGTCTGTCCGTTGACGGCTGGGACGTTAGAAATTGACGTTGAATAATTAAGAGTTTTATTTTATGAAACCTTTTATGACGATGGACCTTTTATGATACAAAACAAATTTGTTTTCTCTATAAATATACTTTTAACACATCGCTAAATTAAAAATTAACAGTTGTATGATAATTAAAAGTAATAAAAAATGTAATAGCCTATATAATTATGTCCTACTGCTGGGCAAAGGCCTCCTCTATACAAACGGTATTAGGGCATAGTCCATCACGCGGCCCCACTGCGGATTGGCGGACTTTATATATCTTCGAAATATATTTTTTGTTTTCATTTCGAAAAATATGAGGTTTCCTCACGATGTTTTCCTTCATCGCTGAACACGTGATATCTTAGCACTTAAATTAACAATTTAAATGGTACCGGCACCGGGGATCGAAATCAGGTAGCACTGTGCCATCGAGTTATGGTGGCTTTTTATAGATATTTTCTTAAAATCTTCACATTTTAATGAACGTTAGACGACACACTACACAGCATAAAATAAAGTCGTCCCACTGTCTGTCTGCCCCTAAGTATGCTTAGATCTTTAAAACTACGCAACGGATCTTGATGAGTTTTTTTTACTAGATAGTGATTTTTACGAGGAAGGTTTACATGCATAATACATTGCATCCGTGCGAAGCCAAACAAGCGCCCCGTTTATTATATTTGGCGACCAGAGACCACTGTCTATCTGGCTTCCTTTCGGGTGTTAAGACGTAAATATTTCTTACCTGTTCTTCCACGTCTGCCACTTCTCTGCCGTTCGTCAGGCTGTTCTTCAGGGACAGCGTGGTCTGGACGATCAGCGCCAGAATCGGTATGAAGGGGAGTAGCAGTAAACGCCACAGCTGGCATCTGCGACTGCGGCACCAGCGTCGCAACTTCGCCCCGAAGCTCGGGCTCTTCGCCCCCATCTTCGGATCCGTCGGTGAAACTGGGGGGAAAATTTCCAATTTATATATTTCAGTCTGACTATTTGTCTGCCGGTTCTAGTGCATATATTATAGTATGCTTTTATCAAAGTAAAGGTTAAAGCCAAAATTTCTATATTCAATGCATGCTTATTAACCGACTGCGCCAGAAGGAGGTTTATGTTTTTTAGCACCAGCTTTCAAATAGAAAAAGATTCACCAAAATCGGTTCAATCATTCGAAAGTTCTGAGGTAACAAACAAAATATAAAAAAAATACAGTCAAATTGAGAACCTCCTCTCCTCTCCTTCTTGAAGTCGGTTGCAAATAGACGCAATGACTGGGGATACCGAAGCCCTATTCTATAAGCGACATTATGCGATGTATTACAAGTAGAAAAATATCGGGCGAAGGTAGTTATACAAAGTTTGAAGTGCCGTCGGAAGGAAACTGGGCCAGTAATGACAAACGGAAAATTTCCTTCGATACTCGGGGTGGCCTTTTTTCAATAGCGTACATTTCTCAAGGAAATTCCTACAGTTCGGAGAAACTGAGTATAACACGGTTCACCAATAGGTATTAAGAAACCTGTAAGTATATCCGTTAGAACAAAGTTCCACGGACATCGGAAAATTTTGCTTTATGATAAAAGTACGTAATTTTATGTATATATATACATGTATATATTATAGGCGTAAAACAGACTGCCGCGGTTCGTATCACGATCATTTACACACTTATTTTTTTTACTTTTTTTCGATTCCAGATCATTGCTTTGTTTTATTTTGTCGATCCAGATGATTTTGTTATTTTTTCCCTTTTTTCTTAAAGTTCGTTCTTTTGGAAAACACAAGTTCACATTTTCTTATTATTACGTCGGTAAGATCGAAAAATATTATGCATATTTCATTACTCAGTAATTTGTATCTATGTAATTTCCAAAATACGTGTTACAAAAAAAAATACCGAGCAAAGCTCGGTCCTCCAGGTACTATTTTAAATGTGAACTTTAATTACAATTTTTTTCAAAAATGTTTCAACAGAAATTGAACGATTTTATTGTTAGTACATATAACATGGAAAGAAATCAAAATGCATTTTACCATAGTATCTAGCAATGTCGTGAATAATTAAAAAAAGACATTATTAAAATTATCTTACGAAAGAAAAATCAATTTCTGTACATATCAATAAAAGTCTAATAAGGCCAATCATGAAACAGCATAAAACAATCAAGGCTGCTTAGAAAGAAACTCGTATCCTGAACAAAGTTTGGAAATGAATATTATGTTAAACGGACCAGCGCCCGAATGCCTTTATCCGACTTCGCGATTCGCTTGTCTTAATATCTACTTTCTGCGATTGAAAGAACAAAGAGAATATAAGTAAGCTAAATTAGAAATTGCTATATCAATTCGAAAATGCATTATTGACTAGGTGCTAGATTTTGCTGAATCTCCCATTACTTCATTAAGTGTGGTAGGGCCACGCAGCGTCGGATGTTGCTCAAATGGGCAGGCTAGTCCGGGTAAGTACCACGACCTCATAGAAGACCGGCGTAAAGTGGAAGTATGACGAATACTTTCGCGTTTCGTCTGGTGAGTGAGGGAGCCGGAGCACAAATTTCAAAAGGTTGTCAACGCACTGTAACCCTCGGGTAAAGCAGATGTCCGTGGGCGGCGGTATTCGCTTAACATCAGGTGAACTGCCTGCTCGTTTGGCAACTTTTCACATAAAAAAAAAACAATTCATGTTAAGGTTTAAAGTCAAAATACACGATTTTATAATATTTATAACTTAAGCAACACGATTTTACTATGAAAACAGAAAAGAAAACGTTATTGAAAAGAAAAGTCGCAATCTATCTACTTTGTATTTTCGCATTTTAAGCAATGCTTGGCGGCATCCATTGTTGTTTTTAGGGTTCCGTACCCAAAGAGATAAACGGGACTCTAACACTAAGACTCCGCTGTCTGTCTGTCCGTCTGACCGTCTGACCGTATATCTGTCTGTTTGTCTGTCCGTCTGTCCGTCTATCATCAGACTGTATCTCATGAACCGTGATACAGATGAAATTTTCACAGATGATGTATTTCTGTTGCCGCTATAACAACAAATACTAAAAGAACAGAATAAAATAATTAATTTGGACTTCCAGAGTCGCGCCCGCCGCGTAACTACTAAGCTAAACGACTGATTGCCAATTTCATATAAAATTTTTGGGCTTTATAAAATATATACAGATTGTTATTACTTTACCACATTCACACCTGTCACAATTGCTGCCTATATGTCGGTTACTCCAAACTGGATAAACAAATATACTATCCACTCTTACGTTACTGTGTCTACCGCACTATAACAACTTCCCGTTTTTCCCGTTAGTTCTATTGACTTAATACAGAGTTCACATGTAATTGGTGGTAAGGATTTATCTTTGTCATCGTGTTTCTAATGTTCTACAATTCAAGGATCCGGTTAAAATCCACCTGTGTTCAAAACTTCGGAGTAACGTTATCCATTTCTTTCTTTTTCTCTATTTTTTTTTTGCAGTGATGTTCGCAAAAACATATCTATCGAACTGAGACACATTTCAATATTATAAATGTGAACCCGCGAATAACCGACGACAATAAACACAAACATTCTTCAAAAAACGGTTTTATTTGCTACCTTTCAGTACCGGTACCGATTGATTTGTCCGATAAAATTCCAAGTTACGAGTACCACCAAGAAGTCCGTAGAATTTGAGAAAATCAAAGTACGTGAAATATGCAAATGCTGTTTAAAATTCAAACAAACAATTCTAGGAATAGTTTCACACATTGATAGACTCCGCGGCCGTTGAATCACGTTGTGTTTATTCAAATAACATAAATGTTCTGTTTTCTCATACCTTAATCCAAACAAAATCGACATACATATACAATCACAGAAACTCTATTCTATTGTTATTAACTTACAGACTTTAACGGATAGATTAACACGAATGTCAGAAGCGAATTTTTACGCGTAATAAATTGCTTTCCGTAACATATGACAGTGGAGTGACAAACCAAAAAAAAACCTAATTTTGGCTTTAAATGTTTATACAAAATAATTATCATTCCTTTCTATATCAGGCGAATGAGAAGCAGAACAGCATTAACAACGGCCACGAGGTGATAGCTCGTGCCCGGCATGACTATTAACCTCTGTACAGGCTGTCCTTTATTCTACTTTCTTTATTATTTAAGTTGAAACAGAATAAAAGTGGAAAATCTGTTATATTTATATAACGCTAGCTGCTGCCCGCGACTACGTCAGCGTAGAATAGTCTAAAAGTGTAACATTAAGCAGAAAGACAGATATAAGTACATAAAATATGTATATAAATTATAGCCTATGCCTTATACTGATGTATAAGCTATATTATTGTAAAGTTTCATTAAAATCCATTCAGTACTATTTGCGTGAAAGAGTAACAAACATCCATCCATATATGCAAACTTTCGCCTTTATAACATTAAGTAAGGATTTGAAACATTTTAACAAGTTTTTGATTGCATCGAGCTATTGCTTAAATCCGCAACTGCAGAACTCATGGAACAGGACACGAATTTAGTATTCAAAGCATTCAAATAATCCGTTAATCTCACTAAACACACCAGCACAGATGTTGAGAAAAACTGGGCACAGCGAAATTCCACTCAATCTGCACATGAAAAACGAAAGACGCCGGTGCTCTGCGGATTGGCAAATAAATCGGATAGAACTGCAATAATCGCTCCCGTTAAGGCTGGATCTGGCAAAGGGCCAGTGTGCAGAGTTAAAAATCACGTTCCGTTTGCCAGCGACGTTGAAGATGAGCTGACTCACTGCTATCACATGAGCCTATGGTGAGCAAATACGCTCATCAGCTCTCGTCTCGGGTGCCCGTCGGCTGCATATACTTGTGTCTGAAGTCAAGATTCTATAAAGTAAAATCTCGGATAGAGGTCGACTTGTAATAGTCGAAATCACTTTGTCATGTCCCCACCTTTCGGACGCACTATACTTGTTGCCACAGCCCCGATCTCCATTTGTATCGCTGACAAATCGAGCAAGGCTCAATGTCGCGACCACTTGGAAAGGGAAGCCAAGTTGTTTCTAAAATTCGGTGTCCATAGTACAGCGAGATGATATTTTCTTACAGTCCATTGCCTGCAGTTCTATAAAGTCCAGTTTCACCGACATATGAAATACGGTTCTCGTCTCTTAGTTGGGGCACCCTTAATCTTCAATTTAAGCACATCCAACGTAGGCCGCCTTGAACTGTCGTTGATCAGATCCTATTCGGTTGCCCCGATCCGTTAACATTGCGAAGAGATGTTGCGTCTCTTCGTTTTCTATAGATTTTAACTTTGACTAACTTCAAAAGCCTCTCCGTCCGAGATCATGAATGCTGTAAATTGAAAATAAAAAAAAAACACACACTGTATTTAATCAAATAATTACCAACATATATTTCGCGTTTTCATCCCAAAAAAAGATTTCACGTCGGCTTTAGTTAAGATGGTTACAGCGTCTTGTTGCATTATTCTGAACTCATGTAGGTTCGTATCATGGCAACAGTGTAAATTTATTTTTAAGAAATCAAATTTTAATGCTGTTCTATTCAATAGATGAATAGAGAGTAAACGGCGGCCGTTTATGTCAATTGATAATGTTTAACATTTAACGTGTTCTTTTCAGGTCTTTTAACTCTAGCGTGGACAGAGATAGCATATGCTCTCTCTGTCTCGGTAAGCTTAATTTGTTATTTATGTGAAAGACCATAAGCCTACCTAGCGGGTACAATTATTAGACAGTAATTTTACGTGTCCATTTGAATTACAAAAAGTGACTTTCTTTATTCAATTTTAAACATATTACACATTTTAATGAAACTAACTACAAGTTTGTTGGCAGAAACGTTAGGTGTAATAAAAATTTAAGAAAACTAATTTAGTTACTACGTCTTGAGTGTGAGTTATAATAAAAAA